AAAAAAACGGCGAAAAAATAGCCAAATTCGCGGTGGAAATGGGCAGGATACGGGTAGGTCAATTCGGCGTCTAATTATAGCGACGCGAACGATCGGGATTAGCTGGATGGGCAGTGGGTAGGCTGACTAGCACTGTCAGGAGGTTGAATCAGCCGGACGAGTGCCCAGCTCACAAACCGAGTCCAATGGGCGGCGCCAAGAAGGCAATTATGAGCCTAATTGCCCCAATGGCAAGTTGGGTGCGAAGGGCCGCGTCAAACGACATACACCCAGCGGGCGGGGCCACCAAAAAGCGTGGTCCCCACTCTTCCGCTAAACGACTACAAGAGACGTTGATTTACCCGTTTAGTTTAGACCTTTAAGCCTTACATTTACACTTGCATCTACATTTGCACTTACACTCATATTCGGTTTTATTGTGCCATTGATTGTTTGTTGTGAAGTACTTATAAATTTAATCAAACAAACACATACACGACTGAACCACCCCGCACATTTTGGTACATCGGCCAAAAAGTGAAAAATATACATTTTGAATATAGTAGGATCGAACGTGATTCTACAAATTCAAATTACTAAATAGAATCGAACGTGATTCTGTCTTTCTAATATCCAAAGAGAATCGGACGTGATTCCATCTTGCGAATAATTAAATAGAATCGAACGTGGTTCTATTAGCAAACTTTATATTTCAACAATACAAGCAGTCAAAAATAACATGTCGCTTCATTTCCACAAGAGACCAATCATGTCCAGCGCAATGGCGCTGGAGAACTTGATAGTGCGCTATAGGGAGTACACAGCCAAAGTGGACTACCCCGCAATAGACGAAGATACCTACGAGCAATGTAGGTCTGCGATAGCGCTGCTGGAGAGCGGCATTAAACAAATAAATCTAGGCACCGAAAATCTAAAGAAACTCTATATTGAGATCAGAGAGGAATATCAAAATTGTAAGAATAAGGCAGATAGGAAGGATATAATGCTCGAAATAGAGCAAATAGAGGAAGATTCAAATCTTCACACTATATTCACCGATGCGAACGAGCTCGGCTTTATGTTGACTGCGCGCCTTGACGAAGCAGAGTGCGCAAGGGACAGATTAGACGTCAAGTTAGGGTACACCACGCAGAAAGCGCAAAGGCTACAAGAACTGGCCTTAGGAGTTCCAGTTCCAGTTCCAGAAGACCAGCACTCACAAATCAACCCGGACGAGGGTTCAGAGCAAGGCCCTAGCAGCCAAAATAGGACTCCCTCAGTAGGTATCGCAGACGCGACGCAGTCTGTTGAGTGCATCAACCCGCCAAGAAATTGTCGCTCAATAAGACCACCTCAAGCGACCCTGCCCAAGTTTCACGGGGACGCCGAAGACTTCCCAGAGTTCTGGGCAGTCTTTGAAACATTAGTACACAAAAGTGATGAGCTTGACGTTATGGAAAAAATTCTACTGTTGAAGGAAAGCTTGATGGGGAAAGCGCGGAACTCTATAAAGGGGATAAGACTAGTGCCAGAAAATTACAACTGGCTAGTTCAGACTCTTCAGAGTAATTATTAGTGACCTTCCCGTAAATAGAGCCCAAATAGTGAAAAAGTTGGTAAATCTTAGGTCAGCTGGGGCTTCGGCAGAAAGTTGCTTAGCAACGTTTGACCAAATACAAGTTCTGGTCCACCAAATGATCTCAGCAGGCTACGACGTAAGAAAAACCTGTGATCCAATATGGTGTAAAACTATATTGTCGAAATTTCCTCGGGATGTCGTAAAGTCTGTTCTGAAACAGGGCCGATCTCAAGATAGTACCACAACGGGAGAATTGATGGCACAATTGAAGAACGAGATCGCCGATAAGCACTACGTTGAGGGTAGGATGGGTCAGCCATAGGCAATAATTCCACCAAAGGGCATAGTATGGCAGTTAACTCGCGCCCCCAATTTGAGGATAAGTGCATCTTTTGCCACAAGAACAATCACTCATCATTTCCATGTCGGACCGTTACGGATCAAAGCCGTCGCCGAAAAATTATAAAAGATGAGAACGGATGCTGGAAGTGCTGTTTTTCGAGTCACAACAGCTTCGACTGCCAACGAGCAGACTGTCCCCGATGTGGTCAAAAACACCGCATGTCATTATGCGTCAAGAACGACGAAAACATGAGTACGGTGAAAAACGGTTCCAGGAACCAACGGGATTCGAGGATGCATCGTGAAACCCCTAGTCCTACACAATGGAATCATAGAGCTGAGCCATTCAGTCCCCAATCCAACCAGCGGTGGCAATTGCGAACATCTGTAATCTTTCCCTATCAGGCAATAACGGTATGACAGAAGCAACTAGCAAAAGTTCACCGAGTAGAAGTAATGCAGGCAGAATTTTTACTGAATCTTATGTAAATTTTGTGAAAAAAAGACCAAAAAACTCTTAACCCTCACCACGAAGTAGAGATCGGCATCCATCGCGCTCACGCCATATAGAACAGTTCTCAAGAAATCCAACATGTACCAATGTAATGACCGAGATTAAATTAAAACACCGAAATCCAGTGTATGCCCAGAGTATTAGCAAAGGAACTTCAGGGCATCATAAGCAACGACCTTACTATTACCGCTCGTCTGAATGCCGTAATCCACTTAGGAAGCCAAATAATTGCTTTATTCATCATGACCCTAGAGTACTCAATTCCGGGTATCCGAACACCGCAACTGAAGAAAATGGTAGCCATCCTAGCCCATTTAGCCTTTGCAGGGCAATAACAAGTGGGAACCATCACGTGCACACACATCTCATTAATAATCATATTTAGATTTATCAGTCAGAAAAAAAGGAACGTTATACTCAATGCTACTTTTAATCGCTAAGCTGTTGGCTTAACCCACTATGGCAACGATTTATGTTGTGTAGAGAAGAAGCGAACGAAGCTGTTTAACTCACGTTATCCGCATTTTTGCTTCACACGGAGTTTACAGCAACTCTGATAAAGCAATTCGAATATCCAAAAATACCAGCTAGTTACTCTTGCGGCACCCCCGAGCCAGCTCCTTAGGTTCGTAATTAGATTAAAGAGATTGAGTTCAATGGTGTATACATCCGCCTCTGCAGGGCTGCGGCCTCGTAGTGGGTTATCTTCGAAACACTGGCCTTTGGCCTCTGGAACTTTGGTCGATTGCAGTATTGCTGTTCTCTAAACTACATACTCAAAAGCGGCGGGAAACTAAAACAGATTTGATCATACTCCACCTCAAATTAGTTATCAAACATTTTTTTCAACACTATAAATGCTACTTATGCAAATAATATGTCTGTGATATAACGAATGTATGACTGATAAATCAATATGATCATTGAATGAGAGACCTATATTCTGCTACTGCCAAAATCCACCCTACCCAGAAAGAGGGATTAACGCCAAAGATAGAGCAGTGCCATCTAACTCGTTGTCAGGATTGATCTAATGAGCCAGCTGACTCTGATAACCCCTAAAAGTGTGCGGGTACTTCAAACGTGACTGTTATCACAGCGGATTATCAGATATCAGTTAATTAGTAGTTAGTATTAGCAGTTATCTAATTGGCTCGCCCCCCCCGGAGCCCCCCCCCCCCTTTTCCAAAAGCAGGTGAAAAATACACAGTCATAACTTAAAAAAGCTATGAAACGCCCCTACACACCGTTACGGGCCCGACTTCTCTTCCTTCTCCACTATCTCGCTGGAGAGACGCAGGGTGCTGTGCCGCGT